GACATCCCAACTGTCTGCGCCCTCCGCTCTCTCGCTGCACCTTTCAAAGCGCTGTAACTCAGCTGAAATCAAAGCTAGAAAGCTGAAATTTCATGAGAACACCAAACAAAATATGCGCTTTCGGAAAAGTTAAAATGTTTACTAGTTTTCAAAATTTTCAAAAAAAAAATTTTTTAATACATTTTATTTTTAGGTCAAAATAAAATAGCATTTTTTCATACATTTCTGTAAAAAACATGTTTCTAGCTGCTCTGGGAGCCGAGATACATCAATTTCAAGTTTTGGGAGGCGAGAGAGTGAGAGCACGCAGACAGTCAGACGCATCTAACTGTCTGCGCCCTCCGCTCTCTCGCCGCATTTTCAAGGAGCTGTAACTCAGCTCAAAAAAACTCTAGAAAGCTGAAATTTTGTGAGAATACCAAACAAAATGTGCGCTTTCGAAAAATGTAGCATTTTGGAAAATTTTCAAAAAAAAATGTTTTTTCATTTTTTTTTTCAGCCTATAATTTCCAGGCCTTTCTCAATTCCAATGCTGAAACTAACTCTTTCAACACCAGATAAAAATCTCATTTCTTCTCCTTATTTCCACCACATACACACCTAATTATATACCCCGTCGGGCGGAGCAATTATGCTCCGCCCCCTTTTCTCTCGGCTCCACATGTCTGCGTCTCCTAGGCGAGAGAGTATGTTGCTCTCATTTCTTCAAGAGAGTTTTCAGAGCAAGAGCTCCGGCTCCCCCTTCTCCTTTTTTCTTCTTCTTTGCTGAGAATTTTTTTTCAAATTTCCCGCCATTTTCAGGTTTAATTAGATCAATTAAGCCAAAAAAAATGGATCTTGCACTATATAATACTGGAACACAATCTCCACTGGATCAATTCAAGTACGAGGTGGACATCACTCGTCCCGGATCGTTCGGTTTTTGTGCTGTTTTCATTGTGGCTACAATTTTGGTAGGGAAATTTGGCTCTAACTTTTTTATCACTCATTTTTGTAGTTTGATTCTGCAATTTTTGAACTTAGCACGTTAAGAGCTTTGAAATGAGCCCAAACACGACCCATTGATCTTAATTTCGATTTTTCGAGTTTAAAGGCGCATGGACCACTCGTAAAATCAAAATCGACCAAAATGGGTCATGTTTAGTCTTATTTTGAAGGGCAAAAAGCGCCCAAGTCATAATTCGCATTTAGCAAAATCAAAGTTATACGAGAAAGTTGAAAAAATTATAAAACCAAAAAAAAAATTTTTTGTTTGAAATTTTTTTTTTCAAATATTTTAGTCAATTTTTCATCGAACCTGACATTTGTTATATTTTTGAATTCCGCACGTTAAAAGCTTCAAAATGAGTATAAACAAGACTAGGTTTCGAGAAGTTTTTGAGGGTCCATGCATTTTTTGAGGGTCCATGCACCTTTAAACTCAAAAATCAAAGTTTATGAAAACTAATCTTGTTTATACTCATTTCAAAGCTCTCAACGCGCCAAATTCAAATTTCCCAACGATTCCAGATCTGCAGCATCGCCTACAAAGTTCTGCGTTCCTGCCGTTTCAAGCGTTTTCCACGCTTTCCAATGTCCTACAAAATTGGACAGATTGCTCATGCCCAACATCCAGAATTCTCACTTTTTCATGGTCCGGACCACATTCAGTACTGTGTTCAGAAGGATTTGGATTTCTGTGAGCACTTTCTTCGAGAGAACTTTCCAGAACATTCTGTTAAATTTTCTGGAAATATTGTTTGTGTAATGGTGCCAAGAGATGGATTTAAATGTGGGAAGCAACTTCAAGAATTCCTCCCAAAAGACGGAAAACTGGTTGGGAGCTATTTGACCTACCAATTGGCCACCGATCGTGCTATTGTAAGTACTTTTTAGAAATTTGGGCTTTTAGAAATGTTCTGCATGTTTCAAAACCTATAATTTTCAGCTTTCTATGTCTTATAGCCTATATAGGAGCTGAGATACAGGTTCACAGCGCTAGAGAGTGTGCGAAAGGGGAGGGCGCAGGCACTCTCGTCGTTTGCGGCCTCTCACTCT